TATGGACCTATGTAATCTGTCAGCCCTGTACTGTAAATTATCTTCCAAACATTCAAATCTAGACTCAAATTTGTGATCTGCTACCTTGGATGCTTCAATAATTGATTGAATGGCGTTGTCCAATTCTTCAACCCTATCCTGGGTATTTTGCATTGTTGCATCTAGTTGCTGGGTAACATTGCCTATCTGAGTTTCTGAGCAGCGGTGCTGCTCAGAATATCTGGCTACAGATATTCTTTAGCTCTTCATGGTCTTCTTACAGCCTAGCCTCTAAGGCCTCAAACATAGAGGATCTCTCTGTGTTTATCTTATCATAAATATGCTGCATCTCATCAGACAGTTCTGTCTTTAGTGTATTGGACACAGAGCCAAGCTTATCATCCGATTTCTGTTTCACTTGCTGCACAATTGTGGTCTGACCTAATCTGTTCTCCAAAACATCATTGCGTAAAGATGTTATTTCCTGTAAGTAGATTGTGAGGTTATCCTTATCCCTATTCCTGAGTCCTCTGGCTAGTAATACTATTTGTACCAGCAAGCTAAATGCCATTACGGTATATAGGCCGGCAATTGTCCTCAAACAGTGAATTCACATAACAAGCAAAAATATTACCAATTTTAGCAAATGATAAATACTCCGCCATAATTTTACCTGATTTTTACTCCATATGCAGTAACTATCTTTGAACAGTAGGTGGCACAGGTGTTCAGTTAGTCCGAGGCGTTTGGCAGTGGTGGGTGGCAGGATGGTGACAGCAGTGGAGAGAGGTCACAAAAGCAGCTGCGCTTATCTTAGAGAGTATATGGCCTTGCGGCCGCAACCACTGAAACAGATGTGGCTTTACCGCAGCAGAGGCCAGGGGAAGCCTCTGCTGAAAGCTGAGGCCTACCTCGACTCTAGGCAGCTAGAAACTGTCTCCGAGCTGGGTGGATGTTTCTGAGCAGCTCAGCTGCAGAGGGTCGGCTGCTAGCTGGGAGCACCTGTGGAGAGAGGGTGCTTTCCGGGCCTAGGCCACAGGCTGGGTTGAACCCACAGCCTGTCCCAAATGGGGTGTAGGTTTCCAATATCCCATTCCTGACACCAGATATAGTTGGAAAATTACCAATACGGAACCAAGTGGAAATATAAGGGGATTTAATAAGGAAAAGCCTTACTTACAGACCAACCTAGCCAGCTGGTGTGGCAGCAGTCTGTCCAGCAAGTACAAAAGTGAAACCGAAAGAGAAACGCAATGCCACCCACTCTACATCACCCTGACCACGCCCTCGAAGGCGTGGTCAGACACACCTGTTGCCAGCCCCTAAGTAGGCGTGGCTACAGGTTCCCCTACAAGTAAGTATGCAAAAACTATATAATTCTCAAGTGTGGTGGTTCATGGCTTCAATCCCAGCATTGGGGAGGCAGAAGTAGACTCATCTTTGTGAGGCTAGCCTGGTCTACATAGTGAGTTCCAGGCTAGTCAAGACTGCATAGTAAGACTCTGTCTCAGAAAAAAAAGGGCCAAAAACAAACTAACAGAACAAACAAATAAAAATCCTACATAATCCTAGACAGGTTTCTGTCCCATGTATTTAATTCCTGTGTATAACACTTTTGGTCTCTGAAAATTTCAAATTAAGAGAGTAAAATTAACCCATGCGTCATAAACTCATTTTGTAACATGCTTGAGAATATCCATTAAAATTTTAAAAATAGCATTGTCATTTGACAGTTTTTATATTATTACATGGGAATGTGTAACTTGTGTGTAGTTAATTTATGAGGAAAATGACTCTAAGCAGCAGGAGGGGATCAGGAGGGAACAACAAGGGACAACTGTGTATCCTTGTGTGGATATTGCCCAGGGCCAATGCTGTATCAGACCTGGCTTCCTGGGGAACAGAAGTGATGCGCTTTAATCTTTTGACTCTGCCCTCCGTTGGTTAAGGGTTGTCCTGGGTAACTTGAACCCTCTCACATTTCAGGGTTACAGATATGAATGCAAAGTGGCTTTCCCCAGATTCCTGGGCCTCTGTGTGAGAGAGAGCCTAGGGGGCAGAAAGCAGTGATTAGGTCATGGATGGGAGTAGGTACAAAGGGACCCTGGAGAACTAAGTTGTCCCCTTCACTGTAAGAGGACACAGTAAAATAATGGCTGATGAAGGACAAGCAAAGAGGCCCTCATCAGAGACCATACTCAGTGGTGCATTGATATTGGATTTTCCAGCCCCCAGAACCGAGAAATAAATTTGTGTTGTTTCTTTTCATTTTTAACAATTCTCCTTTCTCTCCTGGGGAGGTGGTGGTGGTGGTCTGTGTGTTTGTATGACAGGGGTCAGCTTTCGATGCTGCTCTACAGGGTCAGTTAACCTTGGTTTTTGATACAGTCTCCATGGGCTAGGGCTCTCTAATTAAGCTAGGTGGGCTGCCTGAAAACCCCAGGGAGGCCCTGTCTCCGTCTTCCCAGCACAATCATTCTAAGTATGTACGGCATCTCTGGCTCCCGCCCCCTTTTGGATTTATTTATTTTATTTGTATAGTGTTTTGCCTGCACATGTGTATGTGTACCACAGCTGTGCTAAAGGTTCCTGCAGCGGTCAGAAGAGGGAATCTGATCCCTGGAACTCAACTTATGTGTGGTTGTGAGACACCATGTTGGTACTGGGAAACTAATACAGGTTCTCTGCAAGAGCAAGCGCTCTTAACTACTGAACCATCTCTTGAGCCCCATCCCAGGCCCTTGAGTTTGTGTGGCCAGTATTTGATGGAGCTGTATCCCGTGCCCAATTCTTACTTACAGTCCTCCCAGGTCTCAACATGTTCTTATGGTAATTAAAGAAACTAAGAAACCCATTAAGGGTTACAGTTTCTCATTATAATGTGTTACCTTCTTCCATAGCTACCATTAAATCCTGGTACTCTGGTTAATTACTGAGTAAGCTATAGCCCTTTACTGGTCTCACACACTTCAATACCGTTGATAACCCACTAGCATCCTTTATTCACGAGAGTGAATCAGTCTAAAAGAGAAACAGAGCTCTTGCCTTTAATCCCCCCTAGAGAGCTGTATAAGATAGGAACAGGATCTCATATTAGTCTCCAGTCAGGATGAGGATGGGATCTCCTTAGCCTTGGTAGAGGTGAGAGCTCTCTGGTGGCTTGGCTTCTTTGCTTATCTGATCTTCAGTTTGAACCCCAATATCTTTCTCTGAGTTTTTAGTTAATCGTGCTACAATCATCAAAGGCAGTAAGACTTTCCTCCCAAGCCATCTTTTAGTGCTCCCAAAAGAATTAGTTGGTAATATCAAGATACCTGTGTATCTTGAGAAGTGTCTCCCACAGGCATGTTTATTCCAACACTTAGTCCCCAGTTTGTGGTGGTGTTTGGGAAGGCTATGGAGCTCTTAGGACACGGAAGCTTTCAGGAGGAAGTAAGTCACGGGGTGTGGGCTTCAGGAGTTTACAGCCCCCACATTTAGTGTGCGCTCTCAGCTTCTTAAATGCAGTTGAAATGTGATCTCTCATCTTTTTCCTCTGGCCACCTGTTGGCATGCTTTCCCTCCCTTTAGTGACTCTACCCTCTAGAACTGTAAGACAAAGACTTTCTCTCTTCCAGTGTTTTACGGTATTTTATCACATCAACAGAGAAGTAAATAATCTACCCTGTATATACATAAAACTCTGTTCTGCTCCCATAGACACAAAAGACTTCCAGGGGAGTGTAACAAGTGTGAAGTGTGCTAGAGGTATCAGAACAATATGAGAAAAACTAGCAAGACCCAAACCTCCCGCTAGCCCAGGAGGATAATTTTTCTCATTGCTGTTGTCAAGGGAGGCATTGACTTGCCCAAACACATTTTAATACACAGATGCACATTTGAAGCTTGTACAGTGCATGCACTGTCTGTTGGCAGACTTCAGAAAGTTTTCTGATGGTTTATTTTTAAGCTCAGATCACCCTTATGTATTATTAGTTGCAGTTGTGCCTTTTATCAAGTAGAATCAGAGAAGGTAATGTGACTTCACAATGGAATTCTAAAAGTGATGAACCCCTAAGGGTTTGCTTGGAAACTAGACTAGGGTGGCCAGCTGCCCATCCACAGAATATGCATAAGGGTTGTATCATGAGCACACACACCATAAACATACAGTAATAATATTTTTTTAAATAATGTGATTAGCTGGGCTGTAGTGGCACACACCTTTCATCCCAGCCATCGGGAGGCAGTGGCTGGTGGATTTCTGTGAGTTCAAGGACAGCCTGGTAGACAGAGTGAGTTCAAAGACAGCCAGGGATGTTACACAGAGAAATCCAGTTAAAAAAAAAAACTGAATGTGCTTATCTATGTCCTCAGAGATTATCGGAATTGTAGAAATTGGTTGGCAGGCCAGTAGCTGGCTGTATTTCTGATGGGAAAGAGTAAGGAGACTTATGGCATACTCAATTCATCCCACAGGAGTGTCAGAGTCCAGCTCCAGCAGGGTTCTGTACCTCAGGACAGATGTGTGAAGTCCACGAAGAATGAAGGTGTCTGACCACTGTTTGTCTTCCAAACTGACTGGCTCAGGTCATCTTTATTTATACAAGTTCTGATGCATTCAAGCATGAGCAGTTGCAAACCATTTCTCTTTCATCATTTTCCAAGCATCATTAACATTTATTCATTTTAGTTTCTCTTCTTCTTTCCTACTCCCTTAACGTCACTGACCTTTACCCCTTATCATTATAGTGCAATCCAAATGTTTGTATCTAGCCGGGCACCTCTTATTCCTACTGTGCTCTAGCTGGCAGCAAACATGTGGTTACAAAGTAAAAGAGATTTGAGCCCTGTGATTAGTTCTTAATATGATACTTTTATATTCTTATAATCAGCTAAGTGTATTGTCATGCCTAGGTGTACTCCAGTTTCTAAGTAATTTGTATACCACTTTTATGTGGACTGCAGTTATAATCCTATCTTTTATAAGTTCTCAAAATAGTAATGATTAATACCTAACTCTTTAACTGATGGGACTAAATTTCTGTTTTTCCTGGCAATTTCTTTGTGTATTTTTAGGAAAATGGGAGTTTTATATGCCTTTATTGATATTTTGACATTGGAAACATGCCTAAATGTTCACGTCCTGGCACCAGAGAGATGTCTGACCTTTCATGTCCTGTATCTTTTCCTTATATGTTCCTATTGGTTTTTAATGTCATTTTCTAGGAAATTGTTTTCCAAGTTCCTAAGTTCTTTGGCTTATATCTTTCTCTTTTTGGAACTGAATAACCAATAATCATTAACCTTAGTGAGTTCCTCCTGCTTATTCAGGAATACTTCAGAGGTAGCCAGGGGCAACCAGAGAAACCAGTTTCTGTATCACATCAGACAAATTTAAGTTTTCTGTAAAGGCTTTTGTTCCCTGTAAACTCAAGCACAATCAAGACTAAGAGTTTCCATAAGAATAAGCATAGCAAAAGTTAGAGAGGCCTGACACCCATGAGATTCCTAGGATAAGCACAGAAGTTTGCAGTATTGTTTCCATAGGTCCTTGCCAAATGGATGGGATTCTCCAAAGGGCCTTGCTGTCTAAGGAGCTCCATTTGCAAAACATTTATGCACCATTCCCATAGGGGTGACATCATAGCTTCAACCACAGGAGCATCTGTGAGAATGAAAATCATGAACTTTCTCAGTTGTATCAGTGTGACTATCAGACCTCATGCCTTTTTCCCAAACCAATAATACAACCTATAGAAATACACAGTCACAGAAAAACAAGGTGTGATTTTAAATGGTTTATCTCACTACATTGTAATATTCAGCACCATATTGCTTTGTTTGTTTGTTTGAATGACAAGATCTCATGCAGATTGGGCCACTCTCAAACTCTATGTAATCAAGGATGAATTTGAACTTCTTTTAAATAATTTATTTTATTTTATGTGTTTTGGCATTATGCCTGCATGTATATTTATGTGAAAGTGTCAGATCTTAGAGTTACAGACAGGAATAAGCTATGATATGGGTGCTGGGAATTGAACCCAGGTCTTCTGGAAGAGCAGTCAGGGCTCTTAAATGATGAGCCATCTCTTTAGACTTTAGCACCATATTGCATGCTTTGAAACTTCAACTGTGGACCATGCAGACAAGACTTGATTTTTATCCTAGCAGAGTGTCAAAGGGTAGTAAATCTGAAGTCAGAGCACAAAATTTCACCCACAGACTTAGTAGTTCCTTGGACATCAATGAGGCTGTGAATACTAAAGTACATCTGCCCCAAAATGATCCCACCCTTCATTCTACCACAAACTTTAAGAAACCAGGCAACTTCTAGCCCTTTGCCCTACATTCAGCACTCAGCCCCATGAACTGCAGGTAGGAGATGGCTACAGCTCAGAAAGAGGAAGCAGATGGACCAGGAGACCAGGAAACCAGGCAACTTCTAGCCCTTTGCCCTACACTCAGCACTCAGCCCCATGAACTGCAGGCAGGAGATGGCTACAGCTCAGAAAGAGGAAGCAGATGGACCAGGAGACCAGGTAGCACCACAAGCAGCAGGAATGCAGGTCTGTCTCTGGTTCCTGCAGATGGAAAAATAAAGGTTTCCATGTAGAATATCTTAAGACTTGCATGTCTCCCCATAAATATCCAGAACTTTACATCCAGTTCAAAACTCAGGAGAGTAGGCTCTAGGAGTCAGTGTGCCTGATTAGACTCTTCTAGCTTCCTCAGATTCCTAAAGAACTCAAGGACCAGGAGGAGAGCAAACTGATGCTTCAACCACTTCCAGGGTCCTGTGCTCTAAGACTCTGACTGGGGAGAAAAGCCTTTCCTATCTGAGTCTTCCTGGACTTCTAGGGAGCCCTATGTGCTTTTCCTTCTTCACCCAAGAGAGGTCTCTGGGTCTGAGACTTCTGAAAGTCTATTGTTGCAGCAATGTGGATTCCTTCTGTCAGCTGGTGTGAACTAGAACCTACCTGTGGCTCTCAGCCTGCATGGACTGGATATCAACTGTTTCTTCCAGATGGACAGCATCTCTCTGGCTGTACTGTGCCCCTGGGTAGGGGTCATGATTTCCTAGGGCTTCATCCTAACTCTTCACTTCTCTATGCAAATGCATGAAGGCCCTGTGATCACTTCCTGTAGTTTCACTTCAGCTCCAAAGACTTCTCATCTCTCCAGAAACCCCTCAGAGTGTCAGGGCTGAGTAGAGATATGGTTGCTCAGCACTCAGTAGTCTAACTGTAACTCATTTCAGGTTGGCTCCCTGGCCTCTGTCAAACGTAACTTCCTGGGACAATATAGAGTGGAGTCCAATGTGAGTAAGGGAGACACTGTGAATATCTGAGTGGTGGGGAGTAGGAGACAAGGTCTCTAGACTGTAAGCAAGTGATGTTCTTGTAAATGTGGAGCTCTACTCCAGCATGACTTTGGATTTGATGGCTGAGATGTGTAAATAGGTCTTCATAATTAAAAACAGAAGGCATTTGGTGAATGACATCTATATGCCAAGTCATGTCTTCAATGCTTCTTTTTAAATTCTCAAAGCAATATGACTAGAATATTTGTCATTTGAGTCTTTATCAATCAAGTGGGGAAACTGAAGCACAGATATATGGATAGTTGCCAAGAAGCACAGAGACACTGATGCTTGAAGCAAATTACAATTGAGTGTGATTCCAGACCTATGACAGAGAATATGGTAGAGTATTTTCTCTGGAAGTAGTAAGGAAGGATTACTATAAATGATACTTGAACTATGCCTTGAAAGGCAGACCCAGACCCACACTCACCTGAGCTGTAGAAGCAATTGAAGTTGCTTTTCCCTCTTTTCGGGGAGGTCAGAGAAATATTGTCCATTGTTTTTTCACTTCCTGGGCTTTTGTGTGCTTTAAATGCTTCATAGCCTGGAATTAACACCTCCTTTTCATAAGGGAAGTAGGAAAATCCAGTTATGTTAACCCCCAAGCAGGTTATGATGGTAAACAGTGTCCCACTAGCACTACCAAAATTAGAAGAAGCTATGTTCTTATTTAAAGATGAGGAAGCAAAGTGTCCAAACCGCACAAAGCCCGTTCCACTGTAATGAAATTTGTTGTTGGTGCCTCGGTAAACTGTGTAACATTTGTTGTTATTCAGAAGCTGAAGAGCTCTTGTTAAATAGTAATGGAAGGCCTTGTAAGGAAAGTTACTGGGATCTTTCTTGAAATCTCTAACAGCTTTATTAAACTTTTTGTAGATACCTCCCGTGTACATCACTACAGCTGTTCCATGATAATCACTGAAACCTTTCAGATAGGTCATTTTGTGTTTTACCTCCTTCCATTTGTCCTCTGCCATTTCCCATGCAAATTTTAATTCCTTATTCATGTTGAAGTCTTCTTCTAACAATTGGGGTGCTTTTTTCTCCATTTCCTGGACACAGCCCTCATACTGATCATCAAATGCATCGGGAGCCATGTCCAGATTGAAAGACTCAGTCTGCCCTGTCACCTGAAAGGAAGAAGTATGGTTCTTTGTTACTAGCCAAGTTTGCTAATTTATCAGCATGTTCTGGGTGCTGTCTGGAGCTTACAGCATGAGATGTCACATCCAACCTCATGCATGGCACTTGGATGAACACAATGTCATTATGTTCTAAGGGTTGTAGAAAGGAAAGACTGAGGTCTCTGATCCTTTTGTATTTATGGACACTACATTTTTCTATTCAATCAAATTTTACTCAGCATACAAAATAAAAGGTCTATCATGATATTTCATATACATTTATCAGTGTATATTGCTGAGAATATTACCTGCTTGCTTAACAACAAAGTCAGGAGAAATGTGTGAATTGTTGGTGTCATCTTCAAGTTGAAAAACAGCTGCAAGACAATGAAAGACTGGTGCCCACAGTACTGTAACTTTCTGTTGGTGGATCAGCTCTGGAGAAATGACTGAGTCTCCATTTCACATCTGGATGTCCAGGCTCCTGTTCCAAGAAGTGATTATCAGGACTCTGAGTAGCTCTGCTTGGGTCCCTTGTTAGAGATGAGAAGACTGACATCTTCTGTCCCCAAGATCAATCAATACAGGTAACACACAAGGCTAGGTAGTGTGTAGACTATCAGGGAGAAACAGATCATATTTTAGCAGATCTCTCATACACCCTGATGATTTACTTTGTACAGACTCTAAAATTCTTCTCCATATTTGAATAGCTTGTGGCTCACACTCAGCTAGATAGCTTTGATGACTTTTAATGCTGTCAGTATGTTCTATGATTTGAATATGTTTATCATCCACAGGTCCCCCGTGGGGCCATATGAAGGTGGGGAAACCTTTATAGGTGAAGCCTTCTGGGAAGTGACCAGGTCCTGAAGGATATCACCTTTAGAACAGATCATTACACATGTGGGATCCTGCTCAGATCCCACATGTGGCTAGTCTTGCCCTAGAACCTCTCTGGCTTCCTCTATAGGTGTGTATTTCCTTCTGCACATGGCAATGGCTTCTGTGATACATTGTGATTCTGCCAGCCAGCCTTGCCATAATATTTACACTTTCCAGCTATCAGACTGTGAACTGAGTAAACACCTTGACTTTATAAACTTTCCAGCACCAAGCATTTTGTGGTTGTAATGAACACAATCTGAGGAGGTAGGTCAGTGGGTAAAGTATTTGCCATGCACACATAGATCTGAGTTTGCTTCCGGCAACCCATAGGAAAATATCAGGGTGTGATGACATGCATTTGTATTCTAGCACTGGGAGGTGGAGAGAGATGGGTCCCGAGATCCGCTCATCTCTCTGGGCAGCCAATCCAGCCTACATGGTGTGTCCCAGGATTGTGAGTGACCCTATCTTTACAAAAATGGTGGAGAGTGTCTGAGGAAAGACAGCAGAGATTGTGCTATGACTTCCACATGCATGTTCCTACAGACATGCATGTGTCCACACAACTGCATATGCCCACACATGTGCATGGACACACACAAACACACACACACACACACACACACACACACACACACACACACACACACAAGAAAAATAAAAAGCAAGAAAGCAGACTAACACAATCAGCATTATTAATAGCTGTATCTCATGAGAATGCATTGTTTGCACTACTTTTTGATATGTGGAGCTTTAACATATACACTGAAAGGCAAGACAAGCAATCACAAGTAAGATCACTGCCCATTGGTTTGGACCCATCCCTTCATTCTGCCTATGGCTTTGGAAAATCATGAACAATCTCCCTGAACTTATCTGAACCTCTTCTGTTACTTTCTACAGAGTTTTGGCTTATCTGGCATGATAATAATCTTCCCCACACCTTTAGAAAGGCAGAAAGTTGTTGCATGGGGCAGTTAGCTAGCTATTCTTGGGAAGGCTCCTCCTCCACAGCTTGATTCTCCTGCCCTGAGCCTTTAGAGGACTCTACAGAAACAACAGACCTAGAGGTTCTGCACTGCAGTGAAGGTTTCCACCTTCTGTACATCCTCGACCTTTAAAACATCATTAATTATTGTAAAATAACCATATTCTGCTACATAAGATATCCATCTGAATTCTTTAAGTTTTCTTAGACACCCATGTATGGCAGCACACACCTATAATCCCAGCCTTTGGGATCTAGAGGCAGGGGCATCCGAAGTTCCAGGCAAGTTTAGGATGTTATGAGACTCTGAAAACAAAAACAAAGATAAAATTAAGCTCTGGTCAGCATAGAAATACAGGCTATTTCCCTTCGTCTTGTGTACAACCTGAGCCATTTAGGATCTTGCTACTTATTCAAAATGCTTCCTAAAGTTAGGTTGTATAAGAAGTTCTCTAGAAACTTGTCACCAACAGAGATTTGTGGATCCCAGTCCCAAAGTCATGCATTTAGCATTTCTAATGAGATCCTTTGTTAATTATGACACAATTTGCCTTAAAAGAAGATGTATTTTTCTTCTTTTTAGTAATGTGTATGCATGCATATATTACAGAGATTCTTTCCAGCTCATCCAAATGCTGATTTGCCCCAAATATGCACACAGAGACTGAAATTAATTATAAAATGTGGGCCGATAGCTAGGGCTTCTTATTGGCTAGCTCCATCTTAATTATTAATCCATTTCTGTTAATCTAAGTATTTTCAAATGGTCTTATCTTACCAGAGAAGAGTCTGGACCTGTTATTCCTTTCTTGACTACATGGTGTCTCTCTGTGGTCTCCCTTTGCCTACATTTCCCAGAATACTCCTTGCCTCAAAGTCCTGCCTATCTTCCTGCCTCTATTGGCCTAAAAGTGTTTTATTCATCAACCAATAAGAGAAATACACACACACACACACACACACACACACACACACACATACTCTTTTCTGTCTAAAAAACCAGAAATGTTTCAACTTTAACATAGTAAAATCACATATAACAAAACAGTTATCAAGTAAGAACTACTGTTAACAATATTTAGTTCATTAACATTTGGCAAAATTTAAAGAACATTTCTCTCATCTATCCTATCTATGTGAGTCAAAACTTTTATATGTAACTTATCTTTTATCATAACTAAGGAAAACCATAACCATAACTGTCTTCAACTCCACCAAAAACCTCAGAAAGATAATGTATAAACTCTAGAGTTGACAGAAACATCTCACTGCCTGGACAGTCACCCAAAGGGTTTTATAATTTGGAGCATTCATCTTCAGCTCATAGGCCACAGTGTGTCTGGCAGACTTCTCAGTGAATTAGGAAGTTTTAAACTGTCCACCTGTATTGGCAGTTTGACAGTCATTTTTCTCTGTGTCTTGCAGAATGTCTGGCAGACTCTTCCATGAAGCAGGAACCCTGAGATTGTCCCATCTTGTTTTGCAAATTCAGCAATCACTTTCCTGTGTGTCCTGCATGTCCAATTTATATAGCATACAGTCCAACAGTCCAGGCAAGAACAGTTTCTTGCCCAAAAGTCTAGTCTTGCCATATTGAAAGCAACTCCATATCAAGTTTCTTTGATGCTCATCTTCCTCTCTAAGTAATTGGTGTGTCAGAAGCAGTTGTGTCTCACATTCATGAAAAACCCTAATACATCATTTTAAATGCCATGTTCTGAAGGTCTTGAAAGTTTTGAATACTGTCTATCCATTTCAAATATATCTCTGCATATCTGGAAAACTTAACTAATTTAATTTTTGACTATTATATGTGACTATATATAATCAGTATTATTATACATTACACTTTTAAATGATATTTATAAACACAATACCTAAACAAGAGAAGAAATATACATATCACAAAATTGACCTTAAATTTTTGTCAATAAATGAAAATCCATACCAATACAAAGTATTCATTTGTATACCATATTCCCGTATAATTTTTTTT